AATGTACGGAGCATCCTGTTTAGTGACTGTCGTGTTAAAAGCAACATGACAGGGCGTGGGGTGATGAGGTCACTCCCACAAAAACAGATAACTCAACCGCTCACAGTGGCGTCACTAGATTGGGTGACACCCCGGAGAGTCACTACCCTCCGCTATCGATCTACTAAAATTACAGGAAATTTGGTGTCACCTCACCCCCGAATGGTGTTACCCAGAGTCGAGTGGTGAATATAGCTTAAATAAAATATCCAACGTAATGGGGGAAAAATATACTTTCAAATTAAAATTTACTACTTTTCGTTTTGGTGTAACCCCCTCCCACCTCTCTCCTCGGGGATGGAGTCACCCGCACCCCTGCAGCCAGTAGCGTAGCGAGGGGTGTCGGGGGGGGGGGGTCGGCGACAAAATGGGTTGGAAAAATAAATTGAATGGTTGAGGGGGGTGCAAATCAAAAGTTTGAGGGGGTTGGGGTGCAAATCGAAATATCGAGGGGGGGGGGGTGCAAATCGAAAGTTTGAGTGGGGGGTGCAAATGGAAATCTCGAGGGGGGGGGGGGTGCAAAGCAAAAAGTTTGAGGGGAGGGTGCAAATCGAAAAGTTTGTCCCCGGGCGCCGGGAAGGGTCGCTACGCCTCTGCCTGCACCCGCCTTCTGAGGCTACTGACAACATTTCCACGTGAACTTAATTTTATTTTAAATATTTACCTAGTACTGAAATGTATATTCGCACACGCATTGATCAAATAGTACAATTTTAAAAGAATAACAAATACACGCTGACAAAAAATTTGTATTTCTAAATTATTGTCATGGTCTGAATTGCTCAACTGCATTACTTTCCAAAAGAGCAAATACCCTTTTGCCCGTACTCCGCACTGAACTGGTTTATCGAGCCACAGATGTAGCCAGTCCGACACGGACATCGGTCGAAGTCTGTGACCATCTGCTCCGGTCTGGACCAGGCATACGGTTGTCTGACGTAACAGTAGGCCGTGAGGTCACCCATGGGCTGGCAGACCCCCAGGGTAGAGGTCTTGTCCAGGACACAGCACTCCATACTGCCACAGTCAGATCCCACCTTACAGGTTGCACACAGCGCCACACCCACCAGGCACTAGGGGAAGATAGGTTTGTTTTATAATGTACACAATGTTGAAATATATAATGTACACAATGATGAAATATATAATGTACACAATGTTGAAATATATAATGTACACAATGTTGAAATATATATACACAATGATGAACTATATAATGTACACAATGTTGAAATATATAATGTACACAATGTTGAAATATATAATGTACACAATGTTGAAATATATAATGTACACAATGTTGAAATATATAATGTACACAATGTTAAAATATATAATGTACACAATGTTGAAATATATATACACAATGATGAACTATATAATGTACACAATGTTGAAATATATAATGTACACAATGTTGAAATATATAATGTACACAATGTTGAAATATATAATGTACACAATGTTGAAATATATATACACAATGATGAAATATATAATGTACACAATGTTGAAATATATAATGTACACAATGTTGAAATATATAATGCACACAATGTTGAAATATATAATGTACACAATGTTGAAATATATAATGTACACAATGTTGAAATATATAATGTACACAATGTTGAAATATATATACACAATGATGAAATATATAATGTACACAATGTTGAAATATATAATGTACACAATGTTGAAATATATAATGTACACAATGTTGAAATATATAATGTACACAATGTTGAAATATATAATGTACACAATACTGAAATATATAATGTACACAATGTTGAAATATATAATGTACACAATGTTGAAATATATATACACAATGATGAAATATATAATGTACACAATGTTGAAATATATAATGTACACAATGTTGAAATATATAATGTACACAATGTTGAAATATATAATGTACACAATGATGAAATATATAATCTACACAATGATGAAATATATAATGTATAAAAAGTTAAAATATATAATGTACACAATAATGAAATATATAATTTACACAGTGTTGAAATATATAATGTACACAATGATGGAATTTAAAATGTACACAACGTTGAAATATATAATTTACACAATGTTGAACTAAGTTCAATAGTTAACAACGCGTAAAAATGCAATTAGTAATATGACGAAGTTCGAGAAAATAAACATTGAAAGAAAGAAAACAATAACCAATTTGGAGTTACGATTCAGTTAATTAGTAGGAGCTATCACCAGTGGTCAAAACAGGTAAATCTTCAAACCCCCCACCCCCTCTTTTGTGTCTTAGACATTACCTTCCTTCCGCGGTTAACCACTCCCCCTTCCGCAACATCAAATTTCCCCATGTAATTACCGCCACCCTCTCATTGAAATGTATTTATACATATACATCTGCATATCCCTAGTTATCCCTATCTCATTCCAAATCACTATCCTTATCTCTTTACGTTTAGGTAAAGCGTTCAATAATCGACTTTGAGAGGGGGGGGGGGGAGTAATTGCAATGGGATAATGTCCTGACCTCTTACCCCCCCCCCCCCCCCCCTTCTACTGGTATAGGCTGCATAGAACTAGAGTTGAAAAAAATAATTCTAAAAACAGAATTGAAAATTGAAAAATTCTTCCCTAGCGGACTCGACAAGATCTTTTTTTTTCTATTTGAAAGTATCGCCTACATAACACACGCTGCAACATACACTTTGTGTAATTTGTACACACACGCACGCGATGACTGTAGTAATTATATGTCCTGATTTAAAGCCTCTAGCTTACATAAATATGTTACTGTTACAAACATACCAAGCCGAAGAAGACACATGTGAGTATGTTTGCTGCCATTGTGTTCAATGTCTGTAGCCTCACTCAGTCTGTGTGTAGCCTAGTGACACAGAACACACTTCCTGACTACACGTTCGTGTATACAGGTGCTAGATTTCAAAACTTGCAATTATTACTGCGGTAGTTAACATTTTTAGAGATAAGAAACAATTTGTATGATAAGAGTTGCAAAAGTGCATTGCTTAACAGGGCCTACAACATCTCTTTGTTAGAAAATGTTGTGTTTCTTGCTCTTTGTTAGCTGTATTACCATGAAGCCCAATGCATTTTAATGTTGATACTGTGATCAACCGCTTCCTAATCTAACCCAAACTGAAACTCATGTTTGTTACCATTAACTGAGTTTTTCTCTTTAGTAAAAGTGTATTCAACTTTCGACCCCGAGTTCACCTGTTTCAGTGGTATCGTCGTATAAAAAGATAGTATGATCAGCATTATGCTCAGCTGCTTTTACTTTCGGGTACCCGTCAGAGCTGGATGGACTCAGGTGAGTATTACTGTCACAAGCCCAAGATTTGAACTCGAATGTCGGTTTAGCAGTTGTATACTATACCATCCGACCACGCCCTCCCTTTTCTCCTTTGTAGTTTTTCAATTTAGATTTTTTCACCTCGAGATTTTCAAAAGCACGAATCAAACAATGAAAACCATTAACCCTACACCGCAAGGATTATTTTTGTGACCTCGACCACACAATCAGCGAAGCTTGTATACAGTGTTTCTTCCAGACTTTTTTTCTCGGGGGGGGGGGGGGGGGGGCGCACTTGAAATTTTCGGGGGGGGGGGGGGGCGGACACTAGGAAAAGTGTATGTTTACTATATAAATTCCATCTTGTTCGGGGGGGGGGGGGGGGGCGGTAGGCCCCCCCCCCCCCCCCCCCCCCCGAAGAGATGCCTGAGAAGAAACTCTGCTTGTATAGATTGTTAGACAACTAACTGCTGCTCAAAAATCAGCCATGCACCTTCATGTTTAAACATGAAACCAGTGACGATTTCGTCTCTATTGGCGCAATATCCACTTGGTGTTAATTTTTATCTAGCCACCACTATACAATCTCTCTCACGTAAAGAAAACATTGGCCATATAGGGTTAAAACCAAATTTTGGCTAGGTCAGAATTCGTTGCATTTATACCTCACAATGAACCAGACAAATACCTGAGTCGGTTGAGTTCTGACTCGCACATTAACACGTTAGGCGCCACGTTAAAATTACGCTTTTAACAAAAAGTACGCTCGAGAAATAAGAAAACAAATTATACTTTCAAACAAACGTACAATAAAGAAAACAAATTATGCTGTTAACAAAACGTACACTCAAGAAATAAGAAATCAAATAATGCTTTCAACGAAAAGCGCGCTCAAGAAATAGAAAACACAGTATCCACTTTTAAAAACTTTAATACAACCTTTTACTAAAAAAAAAAAACTGGATTTGGGTAAGAAATGGTGAGGATTACATTTCTGTTGTAGTGTAGTAGTTAGAAGTAAAATCACAGAGACGCATAGTTATAAAATGTAACGTTGGTACTCACAACAAATTATAAATGTTGGCTAGATACAACAATTCTAGCCAAATTGTTGCAAAAAAAAAAAAAAAAAATCAAATAAACCTGATAATTTGAAACAAAAGATTTTTAAAACTTCAAAATTGAAGGTGCAGTGCTTTATCAAAAGGACAATCCAAGCCTAAATTAAAAGCAGTACATTTAAAATAACTCAAATGCTATTAAATACTCTGACTAGTTTATGAAAAACACTGATTTTGACCAGAAATATTCTTAGGTTCAAAATAATCAACTTAAAATTATTTTATTTTTACTTTGCCAAACATAATAAAATCATTTATAAAATGCAGTATATACTAATAGAAATTTGACTTTGATAAGTCAAGTAGCATTAAGAAAATAATTCCTGTAATAAATTGCATTTAATTGCAATCAGGGGTAATAAACACGTATTGACACACATTACACACTGAATGATTTCACTTGTGTAGGGGAGATAATAAATTATCAGCTACAATAATATTAAATACACGGGTTAACTCCCCTAGCTTACAAAGGTTCACCTGCATTGATGTGCTTGTTGGGACAATTCCTATGTACATATGATACAAACAATATTTTTTACAGTGTTTGAAATCTATGGCTACTCTTTAAATAGTGTTTGACTTATATGATTCATAAAATTTGACACTCAACATATGATGCATTTTTAAATTCAACCGTGTTACATTTAAACTAAAGAAAAAACCAAAAAACATCACATGCATTTTCTTAACATAAGTTCAATTTGGAGAAAATGTATGTTAAATAATAACTTATACAAATGAGTCTAGCTAATTACCTCACAACGTATTCTAACTTATTCTCTTTAAACTTTTGGGAATGAACTTAAAATGTTTATTTTTTCAACATCGTGCTTCAATCCTTAAAGTAAAACATTATTTTTTCAATATCTTTTCGCTTGGTAATAAAAATGTACATGATCAAAGACAGGTAAGATGAGTAAGCCTATAAAACTTTATTTTAATTTTTTTTCCTTCCGAGATTGATCTAGAATTTAATTTCTGTTTTTTTATTTATTTTCAGCTAGGATAATGTGATATATATATATATATATATATATATATATATATATATATATATATATATATATATATGTATATATATTATTTTTATATGTCAGTGGTGGGGTACGTGGCTAGGTCTCCATGATGTTTTTGAGCAATGCCCAGAAATTTACAAATACTACTCAGAAAATAATAAAATATATATTATAGACCTACAATATAAAAAAAATGTTCAATCAAAATATGAATCAACTATCTCCGGGTATTACCATTATATTATTTAAAAAGTCAAACGGAGAGGTGATAAAAAAAAAGCTTGAAATGAATGTGACTTAATTATATTGCAAAAATTGATATTGACTTAATGTAAATGAAATATACATGACACAAATGCGACATCTCAGAGTAAAAAACTTGATATTTATATATAGTAATTTATGTTTTATTAAATAAAGGGCACAGGATATACCTTATTGCTTAAGTAAAATGTTTTCTGGACAAGGAATACTACATACTGTAAAATTTTTGTTAACATTACTGGAATGCCATTCTCAAAAAAAAAAAGATCTTATTCTTTTTCTTTATTCTTGCTTTAAACTGTAGTGAAAAAAATAATTATTTAATTTGTAAACAAAATTTATTTATAACTTCTAGAAGTTTGTTTTAATTTCCAAGGAAAAAAAAAATTAACACTTGACAAACTACAATAACGTAACTTAATTACATTTTGTTTGTAATTTAGTTTTCAAACCTGAAAAGTCACTCTAATAAAGTTATTTTAAGAATCAAATTTTCCTATCTCAAATGCTATTTTTCTTGTAAACAAAATTTGCTGTAAAAATGAAATGAATTGCAGTTTCCTATTTTTCCCTTGGAGTTGTGGTTTTGTTAATGATGAGACTCGCACAAGTTGAATGGAGACTTGCCAACTTTACATTAAAATCATGGGCAGAAAAACAAGTTTCAAAGAAGTAATAAAGTGCCTAAGCAACTAAACTTATGACCCAAATATCTGCTAAAAATTAAAAAGTTAATACAAATATAAATGAAACAAAAGTAAATGGAAGAATTGAACACTAAAATAAAAAACTAAACACTAGGTATTACAAAATAATAAATTAACCAAGTGATCTAAATAAATATTGTGCATCATATTGGCTGAACACTGACTGGCACTGAGGAAAGATCATGTGTCGAAAGAACGCTTTAGCTAAAATTTTAAAGTTATTAGCATTATTTATTGGAAGACATAAAAAGAAGTAATATTCACCATATTTACAGTTAAAAGCAAAACAAAAAACATTTAAGTCTACCATGTTCTAGATATTTATATTGATGAGATCTTTAAAAACAAGATGATAAAGAAAAACACATTAGAAAGATGAATAGTGTACTATTTTTTTGCTGAAAAAAATAAAATAGAAGCTTTCTTTTAATTATTTATCAAATAATTATCATTTAACATTTGTTTAAATAAATAATTACCACAAATTCATTAAGATAAAATAACTATTAATAATGTAGGGAGAGTGCTAAAGGTATGAACATTTACATAAAACAATGATTTTCAAGTATAACAAAAGTAATACAAATTCAATTTCCAATTGTGAAAATTAATTCATTGCTATGCAACCTTATTCAACAAATCAAAATTACTTAGTTTAAAAAATATGACTTCATAATTCAAACATTTGAATTATAAAATTCTTTTCTAGAACTTATACAGTGATTTAAGCCACAGTAAAAAAATATTTTACAAACTTTAGAGCAAAACCAAAATTTGGGAAATTTAGTTCTTTTAAATTCCTATTTATTAAGAAATAAACTTGTTTTTAATTAAAATAAATTTAATTGATAAAACAGTATATTTACAGACATATTTTGCATTGAACGGATAAGGAACACTCTCCTCATAATAGAAAAAATGTTTAAATAGCTCAAGCAAATCTAACAGAAAAATATATTTTGTTGCTACATGTAGTAATCTACTGTAGCTGACAGACAGGTAAAGGAACAGAGAAATAGTGCAATACAAGATAGTATGCTAAATATAATTTAACCCTTTTCATTTCAATAGTCTTAAGGGCAACAACCAACTTTTGAAAGAGCTGGAATAATATAAATAACTTGAGTTGCAACCAATATTAACATTTGTATTATCCATTAACAACACAAATCAAAGTAAAAGGAATCTTTACAGATTTGCACAAAATTCATCATTGTAACAAGAAAAGAAGCTTCCATTTCAGTTAAAATTGTGCTCTAATATCTTTATTTTCCAACATGCTGATCATGTTGTTTGATATCAAAATAAATAACTTACACAAATCGATTAAGTAAATAATAATTGTGAAGCTTTTAAGCTTATTTGTTGGTTAAATATAAAACAACACCCCATGACATGGAATTTTAAATCCTTTAACAATTCTGTAAAGTATTTGTTACACCAATCATTCTTAAAAGATTCTAGTTGTATTTTTAAAAATATAGATTGATACTGAAAATATTTAAAGTAGTGCATTTGTTTAAAAACCTCTTATAAATAATTATACAAGATTGTGTACGGACATTAACTCTTAAAGATTTACTATTTAGAAAAACCATTGCAAATTTAATTGAAAATTTAAAATTTAAATACAAAGCATTAAAAATGCCAAGTAAACAGCACAAAACCAAACAAACTGAGAATTATTTCAGGAAAGCCAAAACTAATTGAATGACTCGATTCAACATAAAAACATCTGTCCACATTACCTAAGTTGTAATATTTACACAGTCATGAATGTTCCAGATAAAAAAAATAATTAATATCTGTAGTCAAATGTATTCCTTAATTTATTATTAATTTCCATTCAGTTGATCTGGAATGGCTATTGCATTGATTAGTCCAACATTTCGTATTTCTTTTCTGCTTTGATTTTCATTGTCAATATTGTCTAGTTCTCCCTCTCTCCTAGCATGTTTGGCCTTGCTTGGGGAATTATTTGCTGATGAGGCTATCTGGGGTAAACCATTGTATCTAGGCACCCCATCAGTGTCTGCACAGGAAGAGGATCCATCAGCATTTGTTTGGGATAAATTTGTATTACTGTTGTAAGTCTGTGGATTACCCTGTGCAGAAGACTCACCATTCATGGCTGTATGTTCGTATAAGAAGTTCCTGATGTCTTGAATGTTTTCAGGACTTTTTACGTAGCCATGGTTATAGCTGGGACAAAGTGTCCCCTCAGCACAGTCAGAGACACTGTTGGAAGCACTCAAGTCCGTTGACCCATGTGGTCCCGAGCAAACATACTCTGTCTGGCCGAAGAATTCGTTCCCCTGATTTGTCGTTGAAGATAAGCTGGCATCTGACTGAGAGAGACCAAAATAGGAGCTTTCGGTTAATGGGCTGATCAGATCTAGCTCATCATTTTCCGGCTTTCTGTTATCTTCTACCTCACTTATCTCTCTGTTTGTCTCACTTATCTCTCTGTGGAGGTTTTTTCTCGAAGCTGTTCTATCCTTTTTATCAATCGTCTCTGGCCCATTCTCATCTTCACAATTTATTTCTCTAGTGCTTTCAACAGTGAACTCTGTTTTATGTAGACGATGCTCATTTTGTTTTCCTGAATGCAGTTCTAGGATAGCTTCATCATCTAAGTCATTTCTACTCACAATTTGGTAACCTTTTGATGTTTTTCTCAGTGACTTTTCATAACTACCATTGGTCCTGGGCTCAATATAAAAATTCTTATCAGCAATAATGATCTCTGAGCTACCCACTAATTGATAGATGTGTGCCTCCCCATTAAACCGTGGGTTACCATTGCCATCTAGTTTTCTTTTCACCGACCCACCGTTGTATTTATAACTTTTTGATACGTCTTTCTTTGTTGAAGAAGGTACGTTATACTTTAATGATGTCCGTCTCTCAACTGATACTGCTGGGCGGCTTGACCTGACCTTGAGTGAACTCCCCCGCTCCATGAGGGGGCGTGCTTTAACAGAATCCCCCCTCTCCATGATAGCTAATGGTGCATGTCCTATCTGTGCCTGTTTTAGAGCCACAATGTAGCATCCCTCAATGCTGCCATTTTTCACTAAGGATATGGGTGGTATTGCCTGTAATATAAGCAAAAAAAAAAAATTAATTTCTAAACTCATGTTTTTAGTTTATTTGATTTACATTTTACAATCAATAAGATTTTTAATTAAGTGTATATATTTTTTCATACAAAAAGTGAATATAACTAACATTTTGAAATCTATATTTAATTAGAAACAATATTGCTAAACTGTAAAAATCAATTATTATTATTATTTTTTTAAAAACTTCTGCATATTTAACTGGGATATGTTTAAAATGTTCTATTTAAAAATAGGATTTTATTCTACAGCCAAATTACAAGGTTAAATTATAAGCAGTAATTAACAAAACCCAAACAATATTTGTAATTAATAAAACCAAAACCAAATTTGTAATTAAGAAAACCAAAAAAAAAATTTTTGTAATATGAAGCTGGTGAGTTGCAACGCTTATTTCCCTTATACCAAAACTATTTTTAAGTGCATAAAAATGTAGTCTATTAAAAACTACATAAGTACAAAGTTAAACACAATGTATAAAGGGGAAAAGTCTAAAATATAAAATATTGCAAGAAGTAATTTATTGGTGATCAAAAATATTAATTAACAGAGGTTCTTTTTGTGCCTTTGGCAGTGCTATTTAAGGCAATATTATTTTGTATTCAAATAAATTCAATGTATTGGGGATCATTATTATGCAGGGATCAATGTTAGTGTCAAATTAGGGGTTATGATTAGATTTAGAGTCAAAAGTAAGGTTATGATTAGTTTATGGTTAGGTTAGAAATACTGGCAGAAATAATAGTTTTGGTACACAGTTTTTACAGCATTTTCGCAAGGATGATTTAACAATACTGCATTGTTGCTAAAACTATCAAAACTTTTTTTTTTAACAAAAAACTAAAACTAAAAATATTTTTAGGTCATTAACCATGTTTGTTTTTTCTTTTAGACACTCATAACCAGTCTACAAAGTCTGGCAAAAATATGAATTCAAAGAAGTTTTGGATTTTAGGCTATAAATTAGTAGGCCTATAATAAGAGCATGAAAGTCTCTTTCTAGGCGTTGAGCAGGTTAATAGACTTACAACCACAACATGTTGGGATTATGGCTTATTTAAATTATTAAGCTAATTAGTATTTTTTTTTTTGTGTATTTTTGTTTTTTAATTGCTATAGAAAAAAAATATATATTAAGTTTATATATATATATAGCCTATATAATATATATTGTAATAAATATAAAAACAAATTAAATAGGCCTACATAAACACAATTATATATAAAGGCCTAATATATATATATATATATATATATATATATATATATATATATATATATATATATATATATATATATATATATATATATATATATATATATATATATATATATATATATATATTATATATATATATATATATATATATATATATATATATATATATATATATATATATATATATATATATATATATATATATATATATATATATATATATATATATATAATATATATATATATATATATATATATATATATATATATATATATATATATATATATATATATATATATATATATATATATATATATATATATATATATATAGGCCTACTATATATATATATATATATATTATATATTATATATAATATGCCCCTATAATACAATATAAAATATATCAATATAGGCCCTATATATGTTTTTACTTGTTAATCTTAATAACTAGTCCTAGGCTTAGTCTTTTATTCTTTATTCTTCACTAGAACAAGGCCCTACGTCCTCTATCTGCTATCTCGACAAGGGAAGCCCACAGCACTAGTGCAGACACTGGCGTTTACAAGTGAACGCGCCGTACAACGCATTTTGATAAATAATTAAAACACAATGTAAACAAACTTGGTGTTTTTGCTTATCCAGCAGAAATGTTATACAGTTGCACGGTAATAAAAAGCACAGTGGATGGGATGTAGGGGAGGGGTAGGGTGGCTTGAGAGTTGAGAGGATGGGTTTCATTGCGTGTGATTTAACACAAACAAAAACAAAATCCAAATTAAAAACCCAAATATTAATAAAGCGAACCAAATAAAATAAAGTATCGCATTTAACCTGCTAGATTATTTTTTTATTGTCTAAGTAGGTGGTGGTTTCATTGTTGAAAACTGAACCTAAAAAAAACACAAAAACAAAAAGTAATTATCACAAAACATAACGATGCAACGAAAGATAATTAGGTAATGTTAATAATCTTTCACAACATTGTTGCAAGTTTTGTAGTAGCTGCCATTCTAAATGTTTCTCATTAAGTTAAATAGACTGTTAATTAGTAACTATAATCTGCCATTACAGGTATTTGTTTCCAAAAGACTATTGATAGTCTAAGTAATTAATTCAGAATTTCTGTTTCAATTGATCCTAATCTAGTAGAGAGTGTTCTCTCGTACTTTTTGGGGGCTTTTTTGTGTGATACCCAGTTGTGTGTGGGACCCAGGTTTGTATGGGACCCAGTCGTGTGTTGGACCCAGTCGTGTGTGGGACCCTGTCGAGTCGTGTGTGGTACCCTATCGTGTGTGGGACCCAGTCAAGCGTGGGACCCTATCGTGTGTGTCTCCGTAGTTTGTGGGCCCGGTGGTAGATTTATCCAAGTAGTTAGCGCGGCCCAGAACAAAGTAGGTGTGTTGGCCTTCATACACATTTACTTTACACACACACACACGCACGCGCGCTCACACACACTCATCTGACTACTTGTTATATAAAGTTTCATCAACTCAATGTTGTGCATTTGAAGTGAAGTGTGTGTGATGTGTGAGCGAAGGGGGGGGGGGGGGGTGGGATATCATCCGTCCCATGGCAACAGCTGAGTACTGGTGTATCTGTTCCCATTTGATGACGCAAATCAGCAGTACATTTTCCTGTACCACCCCCCCCCCCCCCCCCTAATGTAGGCTACAGCGGCTGACGTCATTCGGCGCACGGATATACAATCTTCCGATAACTAACCGCTTCCTTCTAATTCAAATTATAAATGTTGATTTAATTTCTGCAATAAAACGAATTTCCTAAAAACACTTGAATTTCAAACTAAAATGTGGTTTAGGGAAAAAAATCCACATCTGTTCCCCATTACTCGTTGAATAAAACTAAGGTATTTTTAGATTGTTTATAAAACCTGATGGAAATGACGTAGATATAAAGGGAGGGAAGCAAGTTATTAGGGGAGGGAAGCGAGTGAAATAAACTTAGGGCGCGTGTAGGGGAAAAAGTCAAAATTTGTTTAACAATGCGTTGTTTCCCCATACATTAGATAGATCAATGTTGAATCTGTAAATAATGTATAAAGTATGTGTTCTAAGGCGTTGTTTCCCCATACATTAAATAAGTAAATGTTGAATATGTAAATAATGTATAAAGTATGTGTTCAAAAGCGTGCTTTCCAATCCATCAGAGCAGTCAATGTTGTATTTGATACAGTGTATGTTCATCACTAATCATAAGTCTACTCATCTCTTAGTTTGATCCTAACCGTCACCGAATTTATCAGTGACATGTTTTGTTCCTACAACACCTCCAACCCTATGGAACTAGTGGTATTCTGTGGTATATGTTGTGTTTAGGAGTTACTGTAAAATACTTTTTTTGTGTAACTGTTCCGTTTAACTAAAATACTTGGGTCTCAACCTCAAATTTACAGTATTATTATTTGGGAATAATGGACACCAGACATACGTTTTTAATTTTATTTAATGAAAAGTTAATTGGTTCCTTGCATTAACTGGTCTTCAAGTTACCATAGGGCAGATGAAGTAGAGTTTTTTGTAAAAGCTAGTTCGGTACTTGTGTGAGCCGTTCCTTGAGTCCTTGAAGCAGATGAAGTAGAGTTTTCCTTTTTCTGTTTAAGTTGTTTCCGTCTTTGAGGTATCGGGTCCTTAAATTATCATAGGGTAGTTGAAGTAGAGTTTTCATGTTGTTGACATCGCAAGACCAGCAAACTGCTATCAGAGCACCGCAGATTTTATACCCAAGTGACCTCTGTGGTCCAGAGGTCATTACTGTGTTTAATAAATGACCACCAGCTATGTGACTTTTTACACTATTGTATTTTTAAAACTCCACAAACCGCGACAAAAGGCTTCAAACAAAACAATTTTTAATGATGTTAAAACGTGGTGTATACTCTCACTCTAGTCACATTTTGTTATTAACTTCACAATCAAAGATAACAATGTTTTTTAATTAACCCCGCCCCCCCCCCCCCCCACCACCACACACACCTAATCAAAGATAACAGCAGATATTTGTAATTAACCCCGCCCCCACCCCCACCACCACCACACCTAATCAAAGATAACAGCAGATATTTGTAATTAACCCCCCCCCCCCAACCCGATGTTTTGGCGTAGCTTCGATCTGTTGACGTGGCGTGAAATCAAACAAGATGATACGGGATCGATAAGCCGACAGATAAGCTGTTGATCGTTTTTTTTTTCTTCTCGCTTCCCTGACCAGCAGTTTATTAATTTTTAGTTTCAACTAATCCTGGGCTGTTTTTTTTGTGTTCGTATTCACAAAGCCAAGATGAATGATGTTTTGGTTTTTATCCTTTGAAATATGTGTGTGTGACGGTGTGTAGGTGTGCTAGCAACAGATACTGCAGTTTCAATTCGAAGATACGTTAAGCAACGTTCATACAGGGGCTGTATTGGCGAGTGTTGGCTGCTGTAGTAGTAGTGTGTGTGTATGTGTGTGTATCTGTGTGTGTGTGTGTGTTGGTTTTATCACATCACTGACTGCCACCACTAGTAACACCTTTAGCAGCCACCAATGAGACACCACTGACACCACTTTAAACAGCACTTTAAACACCACTGAAACCACAGCTACCATACCCAGCTCACACCACAACATCATTGGGACCCCTTGTGCATTTTAATAGAGTTTGCAAAAGTTTTATTTCCAATGAATCAAGCTTATAATGTTTTCCCTCACTCCCATTTTTAGCAAACCATGAAAAATTCACCCCCTCCCCCTTTCCCCTTTCGCACTATATTTGAAATGTAGTACAACACACGCCCTACTCTAACGCATGCATGTAAGCCCCTACCTACATACTCACTACCATAATACATGACAGTACCTACATACTCACTACCATAATACATGACAGTACCTACATACTCACTACCATAATACATGACAGTACTACATACTCACTACCATAATACATGACAATACCTACATACTCACTACTATAATACAAGACAGTACCTACATACTCACTACAGTATGCGTTAGTTTTAATTTAATCTTTCTATACAACTCTAATTCGTGCGACAAGGAAACACAAAACGTATACCATTTCTAAATTTCATTATTTGTTCAATTATTTTTTTTAAATTTAACATTTTTTTAAACGTTAACTCGGGTCGACAATATAGAAGGACAAGCAACATTAATCTACTGGGGTCTATTGGTTGGATCAATGAATGGTGGGTGATCTATTGGTTGGATCAATGAATGATGTGCGATCTATTGATTGAATCAATGCACTAAATGATGTGTGATCTATTGGCGGGATCAATTCACTAAATAATGTGTGATCTATTGATTGAATCAATTCACTGAATGATGTGTGATTTTTGTTGTTGAATCATTGAATGATGTGTGATCTATTGATTGAATCAATGCACTAACGACATAGGCGGCTACCTTACAAGTGAACTACTACTGAGCCTATCTCGTCCCTGGCATGCAACCTAAAACGATGGTCAGAAGCCGTCCCCACCTTTTTCTTTGGCGCGGTCGAGTCGTCGTCCATGTACTGCAGGGAGGAGTGGGACTCCGTGGGGGTGGGGTAGTCGGTGCCCCCAGGCGGGCGGGTGATGACCAGCAGGGGCGTCGTGTCCGGCTCGTGGCGGGGGGAGCTGGAGGAGGAGTTCTCCTGGGAGGAGCCGTTGGTTTGGCTGCAGTTACTGCCCTTCGTTGTGATACTGTTCTGGAGAGGAAACAAATGCGAGGTTAAATACACGACTCAAGACATCAGTAGATGTTAAATACACGACTTAAGACATCAGTAGATGTTAAATACACGACTCAAGACATCAGTAGGTGTTAAATACAGGACTTAAGACATCTTTAGATGTTAAATACACGACTTAAGACATCAGTAGATGTTAAATACACGACTTAAGACATCTTAAGTCGTGTATTTAACATCTACTGATATCGTAAGTCGTTTATTTAAGTGTGCTCACAAGAGAGGTTATAAATATGAATATATAAATCAGTAATTTTTATCACAGTAATTTTTGTCACAAGAGTTGTCAAAATACGACTCAAGGAATCACTAATTTTTGTTTCGAGTGAAGTTTAATACACGACCGAAAAATTGAGTGATTTTAGTGTTGTTTTAACTTATCAAATAGGCAAAAATATTGTCATGAGCTATAAAAAATGTGTTTGTACATTTACTTAAAAAAATAATCTTTAGATACATGAAATTAAATTAAATTTGTGGAAAATATTTCGAAATCTTGGCAGGGATAAAAAACAACAACACGTTTACGTCAAATTGGTTTCTTAGGTTTCTTGCTTGTTTGCGTGTTTAATATTTACATAATATGATACAGCTTTGAATTTCTAGAACAAAATACCTTTTGAAGGGAGCTAAAACAACACGTAAATGCAACAGAGCAACTAGTTTTATTGTAACCTAATTAGAACAAGTGTATCCAGTGGCTTGGCTATCTCCAGTAAAAATAAATAACAGGTGTATTAAATCATTCTGGAGATTTCTTTGACAGGAGTCTGGCCGCACCCCAATGCTCTGCTAACATTGTATTACTCCAACACGAAGTTAAAGTCCGCTTATTACGGTAATTCCTCCTAAAGCATTGACTCCAACATGAAGTAAACGTCCGCTTATTACGGTAATTCCTCCTAAAACATTGACTCCAACATGAAGTAAACGTCCGATTATTACGGTAATTCCTCCTAAAGCATTGCCTCCAACACGAAGTAAACGTCCGCTTATTACGGTAATTCCTCCTAAAACATTGACTCCAACATGAAGTAAACGTCCGTTTATTACGGCAATTCCTCCTAAAACATTGACTCCAACATGAAGTAAACGTCCGCTTATTACGGTAATTCCTCCTAAAGCATTGACTCCAACATGAAGTAAAGTCCGCTTATTACGGTAATTCCTGCTAAAGCATTGACTCCAACATGAAGTAAACGTCCGCTTATTACGGTAATTCCTCCTAAAACATTGACTCCAACATGAAGTAAACGTCCGCTTATTACGGTAATTCCTCCTAAAGCATTGACTCCAACATGAAGTAAAAGTCCGCTTATTACGGTAATTCCTCCTAAAACATTGACTCCAACATGAAGTAAACGTCCGCTTATTACGGCAATTCCTCCTAAAACATCGACTCCAACATGAAGTAAACGTCCGCTTATTACGGTAATTCCTCCTAAAGCATTGACTCCAACATGAAGTAAACGTCCGCTTATTACGGTAATTCCTCCTAAAGCATTGACTCCAACATGAAGTAAACGTCCGCTTATTACGGTAATTCCTCCTAAAACATTGACTCCAACATGAAGTAAACGTCCGCTTATTACGGTAATTCCTCCTAAAGCATTGACTCCAACATGAAGTAAAGTCCGCTTATTACGGTAATTCCTCCTAAAGCATTGACTCCAACACGAAGTAAACGTCCGCTTATTACGGTAATTCCTCCTAAAACATTGACTCCAACATGAAGTAAACGTCCGCTTATTACGGTAATTCCTCCTAAAACATTGACTCCAACATGAAGTAAACGTCCGCTTATTACGGCAATTCCTCCTAAAACATTGACTCCAACATGAAGTAAACGTCCGCTTATTACGGTAATTCCTCCTAAAGCATTGACTCCAACATGAAGTAAACGTCCACTTATTACGGTAATTCCTCCTAAAGCATTGACTCCAACATGAAGTAAACGTCCGCTTATTACGGTAATTCCTCCTAAAACATTGACTCCAACATGAAGTAAACGTCCGCTTATTACGGTAATTCCTCCTAAAGCATTGACTCCAACATGAAGTAAAAGTCCGCTTATTACGGTAATTCCTCCTAAAACATTGACTCCAACATGAAGTAAACGTCCGTTTATTACGGTAATTCCTCCTAAAGTATTGACTCCAACATGAAGTAAACGTCCGCTTATTACAGTAATTCCTCCTAAAGCATTGACTCCAACATGAAGTAAACGTCCGCTTATTACGGTATTTCCTCCTAAAGCATTGACTGAACATGATCTATAAGTCCACCCGTGGGTCAGTCCTAAAGCATTGTGTGACACAAGTACGAGCTATGCACCCCCCGGGGGTCAAATAATTGCCCTCCAAGAATCCGATGCCCATCTTAATGTTATCGCGTTCAAATTTATGGATCAGATTAGGCGCAAGTGCTGTGTCAACTGGGGGCTATTACGTAACATTGAAGTTGTCTGGCTAGCCTTCGGTCGATGTTACACGTAAAACATAATGTCACAGTGAGTGTCAGTGTCATGTCAATAATACTGTCACGAAGGTGTCACTAACACATTTGGAATGGTGTCATCGTACTGTCACTGACACATAAATAACGTGACAAAACTGACACATCAGTAACGGCGTGACAATATTGTCACATCAATCACTAACTACGTGACAAGACTGACACATCAATAGCGACGTGACAAAACTGTCACGTCCATAACGGCGTGACAAGATTGTCACATCAATAACGATGTGACAATATTGTCACATCAATAACGGCGTGACAAGACTGTCCCATGAATAAATACGTGACAAGACATCCCGTCAATATCTACGTGACAAAACTGTCACGTCAATAACGACGTGACAAAACTGTCACGTCAATAACGGCGTGACAAGACTGACACGTCCACAACGGTGTCACTGCCACCGATCGAGCATTAGATAACTGAGTGAGGTTATCCCAACTAGGTCGGTAGGTCAAAGTCCGTGGATTAGATCATGTCCAAGATTTAATACACCAGGGTTAAAGGGGAAACACGATATGGAATATTAATTCCATAAAAATAAACGAGTTCATTTCACTCGTTCACAATTTCTTAGTTGGTCAATAGATCTGTCAACTTACACAGCCTTCTGTTAAAATTTAGTTATTTTTTTTTAAGATAATACTTGGTTATTATGACCTAACAATGACTCGCATTTCTTCTGTGACTGCAGCATAGGGTGGGATTGTGGAACCGATTCACAGCCGACTTCAGTTTCCTAAAATTAAACAGGTGGTGACGTAATCCAACAGCTGAGTGGAGTAGAGGTAGGATTCAGAGCTTTAGTCGCAGCTAGCAGTCAGCTAGCAGTCACAGCTAACAGTCACAACAAGCAACTTAGTTGCGTCTAAGCACCGCTCAAGCTGACGTACGCCACTGCTACAAGGAACACAAGACTGGTGTAGTTATGAAGATAACTCTTTCCGTTCTTTCCCATCCTTAACCACCACCATTAAGGTTTCTCACATTGTGTGTGTGGGGGGGGGGGGGGGGGGAGTGAGTACATGATTTCAAGCTATGCCAATGTTAGAGAACGCTAAACTAAATCCTCTTTATTGTTTGTATCAAAGGGGGGCGGGGAGGGAGGGGGGATGTGTTGGTGGTGTGAACTGTACGGGCTGATAACTCCGATCAATAGAATGGACTTTGCTGAGACGACAAGTCATCCAGCTAATGCACCATCCATGTACAGGGTGCTAAATACATTGTGTGCAACTCATTAGGTTGGTGCTACAGAGGTCACCGTTCCGGGGAGAGTTCTGTACAATTAAAACCAACCGTCTTTAGTAATGCTGGGTTATTTAGATAGAAGATTAGACAAAACATAAACAAAATAACGAGGCTGAACAAAACTAGTTAAGTTGTAATGTATATTGTTCCCTGTCGACGATATTGAAAGTAAGGTGTTTTTCGTGACGGAAACAGATTTATACATTAACCCTTTATATCCTATATTGCTATATTAAACTACCATAGCCATCAAGCACAACTAAACTGAAGTAAAGAGAAAATACACTGTTTTCTAGAAGGCTTATCTTTCTTTTTTTCTAGGTCATCACTTTTTATACGTGTTAAAAGGTGAAGGACCGATTAAAAGGCGAGCTGACGATGGCAGATCTCAAGTAAACATGTTGTATCTGTTGCATGTGTAAATATGTTGTATTTGTTGCACGTGTAAATATGTTGTATCTGTTGCAAGTGTGAAATGTTGTATCTGTTGCAAGTGTGAATATGTTGTATCTGTTGCAAGTGTGAATATGTTGTATTTGTTGCACGTATGAACATGTATTTGTTGCACGTGTGAATATGTTTATCTGTTGTACGTGTGAAAATGTTATATCTGTTGCACGTGAGAATGTGTTGTAGGTCTATTTGTTATACGAGTCAACATGATGTGTCTGTTGCACGTGTGATACACTTCTTCTGATGCCATAAATCATGTAAACATTTATCAGTTGCACGGTTTATAATCTTATGTGTGGTGGGATATAAACAGGATGCAGTGGGGGTAATGATTATGCCTGGGCATATGTGCGTATGTGTTTGGTATGTCATATCTCGTTTTCCACTAATTAATTAAGAAATTCGAGCAGAGATAAATGGCTCCGTATGACTCAATATCATGTTCAGAAATAAAGTTTAATAAAAAAATTTTTTTCATATTCTCTGTTTTAATTTTTCAGATAAATATTAAAATTGTTTTCATAATAAATGTGATAAACAATATTATGTTTCAGCATATCTTCAACAACATATTAGAAGTGGGAGTGGTTTTAAAATAATCGATGTGTGAAGTTCGCAAGAAAATGGCGAAAAGAAAAACATCTTTGAATACAGAAAGTCATTAAGACATAAACTGAGTAAAGGGACGCTATTCATTTAAAGCTAAGGGACACTATTAAAACAACCTGGTAGGCCCCAATGGCCAAGTAGACAAACTCCACTAGTCATCACGTGACCACCACCACTGGTCATCACATGACCACCGCCACCGGTCATCACGTGACCACCGCCACTGGTCATCAGACAGTGTGTCTGGTATGTTGTGTTTATTGATTCGCCTCTACACAAACACGATCTTTCGTTTAGCCAAGAATGTTCGACCCCGGTCAAAGACAATCTTAAATAACTTATGGGCTTTTGACTGGATGATCAAATGAAATGGGCTTTTGACTGGATGATCAAATGAAATGGGCTTTTGTCTGGATGATGACACAAGCTATCACATGAAATGGGCTTTTGACTGATTAATAATATGAAATGGGCTTTTGTTTTGCTGATTCTGAGCAACAAAGGTATTAAGAAAAATGTTTTGAACTAGAGGATTCTACAAGTACGTGACGAAAGAAGGGACGCTGGATTTTGTTAACCACGCGAGCTGTTTTATCTCAGAATAAAATCGACATCAAGTCTGATCAGACTTGATGTCGATTTTATTCTGATCAGACTTGCCAATCTTACCCAATAACAACAAGTCTAGGAAGTCTTGTCCATTTTACACAACAAATCTGGTCAGACTTGCCAATCCTTCCCGAAACTAAGTTGATAAGGTCTCAATGATTTACATTTGAGAACTACCTATAAAACTGTATTCGATCGTTACTTCTTGCCATACCAAGCAAACCTTTATAAAAGAGTTCAAAATGCTCATTCTGTAAAATATATAGGAATGCCAGATAAATCACTTGAAAACTATTTTCAAAAAACGTAAAAAAACGAATTCATATTTTAAACCATATTTCAAGAGGACTTCCGGGTGCGCATTGGACGTCAGCGTATTTTTATTTCCCGTTTTAGTGATCCCTCCCACCACTACATGACCACTGATTAACGTATAAAAACACATTGATTTCACAAGACGGAATTAGAAGTTCCACATTGGAAACTATGACAGTTGTACGAGAAGACGTCAATATTTTTCTATCTGAAGGATTTAATTGGAATTATTTCGTCTGTGTATGCTACTCTGGAAGGTTGAGTGTCTAGTTTGAATCGTCTTTTGTAAAGCACTTGTGAAGCATACACTCAATAAACTTAATGGTGGAGGATGCACGAAGCGAGGTGCGCATAAAGTTTGGTGCATAAAGTTTGGTGCGCATTAGGAAAGATACGCATGCAGTCAGATAAGCCGTCAGGTACGTAGTCAGTAAGGTGTGCAGTCAGTAAAGTACGCTGTCAGTAAAATATGTACTACCCTGTGTGTTATCCCCTGTGTGTACACAGCTATGTAGTGTGTACTTAAATGTTTACTCATGTATGTGAAAACACTCTTATTTGATTACCTGTGAGTACTCACCTGGGTATTCAACTTTTAATTATGTACACACCTGTGAGTACTCACGTGTGTACTCACCTGCTAACTATGTGCTCATCTGAGGGTATTAACCTGTGTCTACACACCTGTAAGTACTCACCTGTGTACTCACCTGTTAATTATGTACACATATGTGAGTACTCACCTGTGTGTACTCAACAGCTAATTATGTACACACCTGTGAGTACTCACCTGTGTACACATTTGTGTGTACGCACCTGCAAACCATGTACACACCTGTGAATACTCACCTGTGTACTCACCTTCTAACTATGCACTCACCTGTTGACTAGTTTTACTGATGAGTGAGTCACGTCTCAGCTGTTCCATGGACTGGGTGGGGTTCCTCAGGGCCACACTGCAGGACCGGAACTTTGGCCGGTTGGCCATGGCCTGTTCATGTCTGGCCCTCTTTATATAGTTCCTGGAATTATGTATCAAAAGGTTTGTTATATCTGACTAAATAGTTCCTGGAATCATTTATCAAAAAGTTTGATATATCTGACTAACTAGTTCCTGGAATCATTTATCAAAAAGTTTGATATACCTGGCTTCTTTATTCCTATATATGGAATTATGTAACACAGAGTTTAAGCATTGAACCTTTTTTTTCTTCTTCTTACTAAATACTAGTGTTTGGAAGGGATTCCCTCCAACAGAATTAAGTATTACGTGTCAACTTGTTATGCGCCATATAGAAGTTGTTTGATTTTGTAGTTGTCTTTCCTAGAAGTGTTGCTGTCGAGCTTTATCTGCCTGAGAGTTCGAACTCGAGACATTTCAGTCAAGTAGACATGAGCCTTACCAACTCGACCACGACGACACCATTGAACCCTATTTAAACTAATTTCCACATCGTTTTATTTTATGTTTGATCAAAACAATGATCGCTAATTACATAGCCTAATTATCACAATACACATTTGAAACATCTTTACATTTACCAATTATGGTCCGATCAATAAAATTAGTTTCTAGTTAATGGGTGGACTAATTAACAATGGATGAAACGACGTCCTGAAGATAAAAACAGTTTATCCAATGGATAAAGCAACGACCAGAAGATAAAATATTTTATCCAATGGATGAAGCGATGACCAGGTTATAAAAAAAAATATTTTATCCAATGGATGAAACGACGTCCTGAAGATAAAAACAGTTTATCCAATGGATAAAGCAACGACCAGAAGATAAAATATTTTATCCAATGGATGAAGCGATGACCAGGTTATAAAAAAAAATATTTTATCCAATGGATAAAGCAACGACCAGAAGATAAAATATTTTATCCAATGGATGAAGCGATGACCAGGTTATAAAAAAATATTTTATCCAATGGATAAAGCAACGACCAGAAGATAAAATATTTTATCCAATGGATGAAGCGATGACCAGGTTATAAAAAAATATTTTATCCAATGGATAAAGCAACGACCAGAAGATAAAATATTTTATCCAATGGATGAAGCGATGACCAGGTTATAAAAAAATATTTTATCCAATGGATAAAGCAACGACCAGAAGATAAAATATTTTATCCAATAGATGAAGCGATGACCAGGTTATAAAAAAATATTTTATCCAATGGATAAAGCAACGACCAGAAGATAAAATATTTTATCCAATGGATGAAGCGATGACCAAGATATAAAAAAATATTTTATCCAATGGATAAAGCAACGACCAGACGATAAAATATTTAATCCAATGGATGAAGCGATGACCAGGTTATAAAAAAATATTTTATCCAATGGATAAAGCAACGACCAGACGATAAAATATTGTATCCAATGGATGAAGCGATGACCAAGATATAAAAAAATATTTTATCCAATGGATGAAGCAACGACCAGAAGATAAAAATATTGTATCCAATGGATGAAGCGATGACCAAGATATAAAAAAATATTTTATCCAATGGATGAAGCAACGATCAGAAGATAAAATATTTAATCCAATGGATGAAGCAACGATCAGAAGATGAGCTCTCACCTGATCCTGAGGATGGCGGCGATGATGAAAAACATGCCGATGATGGCCGAACAGGTGGAGATGACCACGATCTGTGTGCGGCTCAGACCTGGGGATGTTCAACTCATTCAGTCACCGGCAACACGCAGACGACATCGAACTCTGTACACTAGTGTCATGTGTCAAGGTGTCATATGTCAGGGTGTCACGTGTCCTAGTGTCATATGTCAGGGTGTCATTGATGAAATCCACCCCATAGTTAATGGTTATGGGTAGTTTTTGAAATCAATATATATGTGCCCACGATTTTGATCAGTTATGCCAATAATTACTAAAACAGCATTTGTTTAACTAGCCTAAATGTCGGCGTATATGGGGCAATGCTGTAGCAAATGATATTTAATACTGAGTCAACATATGGTGCCGATTTGAAATTTACATTTGAAATTTGTTGTTGCAAATTGCGCTGGTTCAAACAGCTGTTTACCGAGTTTCGAAATACCCTCGTACTGTAAGTCTTCAACTTGTTAGCGGGCTCGAACATACTGTAAATCTGCTATTTAACAAGATATAACTTTTAAAAACTTGCATAAACCAACATAGGCGTAATTCATACCTGAACACTGAAGGCGTTGAACAAGGTGCCTCAAACACTATTTCAACAAATATATGGTATTTGGTTGTTTAAAAATATAAGTGTGTGCGTGTGAGAGAGTGTGTTTGTGTGAGAGGGAGAAAGTATATGTATTTGTGCGGGTGTGAATGTGTGTTTGAAAGACAGCAGTTAACATCACGTTGTTACATTGCTGTTGTGTGTGTGTGAGTGTATGCGTTTGTGTGTGTGTGTGTTTGCAAGACAGCCGCTAACGTCGCGACGTAAAACGAGTACGACCTTACCGTCCTTACGCTCGTCGCTGACGGCGCCCACCATCGTCTCGTTGTGCTCCAGCCGGTGGATGTTCTCGGGGGGCGGCGTGCTCGGGGCGTCGGCGCCCCCCAGCTGTATCTGGTAATTGTGGCACATGATCGGTAATGCTGTTGGGCTTTTGCTAGAGTTCGTGCCATCCGCCGTGGAGTTCTGGTTCAAATCCACGCGGGAATCAGACGAAAGGAGACTTTGAGGTACTGCGTCAAAAACTAGCACAATCCCGACCGAGCTTTGGCCGGAGGATTGTGATTGTGGGGGTACCGAGGGGTTGTTTTGTATAATTACACGTCCTATGCAGGAATCGCTTCTTTGTTCCAGAATTTTTAATTTCTGTAGATCTGAGATAAGTTGCGTGATGTCTTTGTTTTTGATGGGGGTGGGCGTGTGTTCCGAGGAGGGGGTGGTATCTGGGGCCGGGGAGGGAGGGGTTGCTCCCTTGGAAGATTGCGATGATTGTAAGATGGAAGGCGGTGTGGAATGAAGACTGGACGAAGACGACAGTTCTGTCCCCTGACTAGCTCGCTTGTCTCGCACTTTGATCCCGTGTATAAAGTTCGCATTTTTCTCCGACAGGATACTCCTAGCCTCGCAGTAGTCCGAGCAGATCATTATAAAAATGATCAAAAATGCGAAACTTTTTCTGAAGAAACGATTCGCATTGAAGCTGGTGAATGTAAACTTGGCGGGTGAAACAACTAATCCTGTGGCTGTGGGGTCATGAAACACGTGGGAGCTGAGCTGAGGGGTGGGCCGCAGCTGGTGGTAGAGGTGGGGGGAAGACTCGTGGTCTCGATGGTCGGGCGCCCGGGGGTGCGGGTGGTCCGGTGGCCGGGGGTGCGGGTGGTCAAGCGGCTGGCGGTGCGGATGTTTAGGTGGTTGGTGGTACAGGTGGTCCAATAGCCGGTGGTGCTGGTAATCCGGTGGCCGAGGGTGCGGGTGGTCCGGTGGCCGGGGGTGTAGATGATCGAGACACATTGATGTCCTGTTATCTGTTAGATCCCGTCCTGACAAAGGCGGCCATTGGATGCGACATCTGCAAGACAAGAGTTGAGAAAATAAGTTCAATTGTTTAATCAAGAGTCCATCGAGAGATCCAGTAATACAAGCTGAAGAAGCTAAGTAAAACGGCCATGTAACAAGAAACTAACTTGTAGCTAAAGACGCATGTATGAGCTCGTAGCTGTATGAATATCTTCGTCTCGTCTAAAAGCTTACAAACAATCGGGAAATAAATCTCTATTATGTTAACATTAAAAGTATATATTTATTCATGCATATAATCACAAACATATGTGCAGTACACTCTCATTCAAGTGCAAACTGTTCATTTAAAAAAAAACAACAGAACATTTATTTTAATTTAAAAACAAGAATTGCAAGTCTTTTTGAAATTCAGCCAGTGTCCATTAATTAATTAAAATCCCCTTCGCTAGTGAGATTTTCAACGCTGTCGCGGGTAAAAAGAGTTCGATCAATGTTCATTCCTAACACAGGGGTCGTGTGTTAAGCTACAATTTCAACCCCTAAACACAGGGGTCGAGTGTTGTATCTGATCCCTGAGCTGACATGAAACGGAGGAGGGGAGGGGGGGGGGGTGAGATTGCGTGCTGGTGATGCGTCTAATGCGATGCTCGGTTATTGACACGGTAAGTCGTTTGATGTGGCTCAGGTCCATTTGTCTCATGTGGCCCCCATTACCAGCCCTACACAGCCCCACTATGTTTACTTGACCCCCCCCCCCCCCCCAATAAGTTTTTCATTAATTTTCCCTTCCCTTAATGCTTATCAACCCCGCCTTTTTTCTGCCCCAGCCCCCACCTCGGTGTTTACTGTCCCCATCCGAAATTTACTATCCCCCCCTCAACAACCAACGTTTATTGTCCCCCACCATTGCTTACACTGCCACACCATTTGTTCAGACCCCACTTGCATTTCCTGTCCACTCCTCCCCTCTCCCCCCCCCCCCAAAGTTATTGACTGTGTCAACCTGGAACCCACAAATACTACCCCCAATACAACTGTCACCTCCCATTCTAACTTTTACTCCTATCCCCTTATGTTCCGCCTCCCCCCCCCACCCCCCAATCCTCCCCGCCAATAACGGGACTAAACACGTGAGAGATCTATCACTGCGCATGTCTGAGGGCTTTAGCTTCACACGTTATGACGTCACTCATATTGACGACAGCATCGCGAGGGAACAGATGGTGACACACTGAATTATCTCACCTTGGTGAGCACACATTACACCCCCTCCACACACCTGTGTACACACATTACCCCTCCAAACACCTGTGTACACACCTTCTAGTCCCTTCACACACCTGTGTTCACACCATACACCCCCTTTATACACCTGTCAGCACACCACACACCCCTTCCACACACCTTTGTGCATACCTTACACCCCCTCCACACACGCATGCGTCGACATTGTTTCAAACGGCATTGCAAATCTTCTTATTTGGATCGGGCGGCGCTGAAGTAAGAAAATTGCCCCCTACCCCGGGGTCAACCACGCATTATATTACAATATCAAATCTATTAAAACAAGCATCAGGTACCCAAGCTTTATATGTTTTTTAACGTGTCTACCCAGACTTTATGCTTCTATTTTCAAGTTGTGTCAACTCTTTTAATTTTTTTTAAACGTGTCTTTAAAGCTCGAATCGACTCAACGGAATAAAGATAATTTTGTCTGAGTATTTTAAAATAATAACTGTCACAGCAGAAATATGCACATATTTCAATATTAAAACTAGCAAATATGTTTAAACTATCTCAATATTTGGTTGAACTGTTCAGAACGACGAGGGAGTTCTTCTTTAACCCATCTGCTCCTGAAAGCAACAAAACTTGTCTCTGTGTGAAACTTAACTCTGTTGACGGCTGACACTATGAGTTAAACCTTAGCTCTGTTGTCGGCTGAGATTGTGTGAGTTAAACCTTAACTCTGTTGTCGGCTGAGATTGTGTGAGTTAAACCTTAGCTCTGTTGACAGCTGAGACTGTGTGAGCTAAACCTTAACTCTGTTGTCGGCTGAGATTGTGTGAGCTAAACCTTAGCTCTGTTGCCGGCTGAGACTGTGTGAGTTAAACCTTAACTCTGTTGCCGGCTGAAATTGTGTGAGTTAAACCTTAGCTCTGTTGCCGGCTGAGACTGTGTGAGTTAAACCTTAACTCTGTTGTCGGCTGAGACTGTGTGAGCTAAACCTTAACTCTGTTGCCGGCTGAGACTGTGTGAGTTAAACCTTAAACAGCGTACCCTCATGTAATCACATACATGTGCACACAGCGTACCCTCGTGTAATCACATATGTGTACTCACGAACACACGAACGTGCACACTCTACCCACCCACATAAACCGTCTACGTCATTCGCGGTCTGCCTTAACGCCCGGTCAGCCGGTAGTCTTAGACTAATGGCACCTACGGTAATTAGAAATCTGGGCTAAATTTAGAACTCGCGCTCGTGGACAGGAGGCTAGGCCGACCTGAGGGGCGCTTGATTAGGTGGGTGAGTAAGTGGGGAGGGGAGCAGGATGCTAGACTGGCCTGGGGGGGGGGGGGGGGGGCTTGATTAGGAGGGTGAGTAAGTGGGGAGGGGGTTGAGCAATGGGGAGGGGGGTGAGCAATGGGGGGGGGGGCAGGATGCTAGACTGGCCTGAGGGGTGCTTGATTGGGAGTGAGTAAGTGGGGAGGGGAGGGGGCAGCAGGAGCCAGAGGGTGCAGTGAGTGTAGGGGGGGGGGGGAGGGGGGGGGTGAGCTGGGTATTTTGGTGATTAATTAGCTTGACCTTCGGGAACCTACGCATCGAAAATAAAATTGTATTCACTGCGTGTATTTAATTAGAATCTCCGTTAATAATACGGTATCGCAGCGCTTAGGAAGTTTACCCTAACCGGAAGTTATTTACGTTATCAGGATATCCAGGTTGGTTGATAACTCGTATATTCAGGTTGATTGATGGCTAGATAACTCGTACACCAACCAGCTTTTGCTCTCTCTACATCTACCCCCAACAAGCACTGGCGTTTGATGTTCTTCATACTAACTTGTCAATTCATACCCCTCCACCTAAACTTGTCAATTCATCACCCTCCACCTAACTTGTCAGTTTATCCCCCCCCCTCCCCATTAACCTTGTCAGATCACAACGCGTGATAACAACAGTAAGGTGATATTTTGATCAATTGGTCTAACCATACCACACTATTTAATTTATAAGTTGAAATCTGAACTAGATTTAGCTCCCTTTAATTATGTTTTCAAAAAAAAAATGTCTCATAATTATAGCATGCAATTGAGCAACAGTTTAGATACTGTTGACAATTTTCCCGTTCTTAAAAAAATTAAGAAATTAGTGATTTAGTCTTTGA